CTTCAGCCCTCCACTATCTTGCATAGTTACTGATGAGTAAAGCAGTGGAGGGCTAAATTATAGGAATTGTTTTAAAAAAAAACTCCACTCATCTTTAAAAATGAGACTCAATAAACTAAAGAAGAGAGATCTATAAATAAATAAAAATGGTCCAACTTTTAATGGACAGAAAATGATGCAATTGTTTTGTGAAGCATTTCAAAATAACTGTTTTTCTTGTATAAAGAATTAAAAACCCAGATTGTTTCCAAAATGGTGAATGACTGAATCGATAAAACCTACTTAAATGTTTTGTGGATCACTTAATTTTTAGTGCCAAAGCACACTGAGAAGTACCATAAGGCACTCTTAATTACAGAGTAAGTGCAATCCATTCACTTAATGGAATAAATCGATGACACTGATATGTTAAAAGAGCTAAATGTAATTGACTGAGGAATAAACTTTTTTCAGGCTTTTGACTTTCTTTTCTGCTTGTGTTTTATGCAAGCTCAGCAAAGACTTGTACATATGGATCCTTTTTTATTACTATGCATCCAAAGTAGATGTGCATTAAACTTATTGTATCCCATCACTCAGCAATGAATTGGCAAAGTGGAGGTCTAACTAGAGAACCAGAACTTTAGATTTTCATGGAATGCTTACAACACAGGAGCTTCCATAAACTTAAGCTGGCCACACACTAGTAGATGTTCGAACAAACATTCGTACAAAATATCTTTCTTTTGACTTGCTATTAGTTGATGGGGTCAAATCAATGATTGATTTTGACCATAGTGACAAAAAAAGTCAAAGCAGGAGCCGGATGGAAGATTTTTCTCAAATGAACAAATCTCTAACAGTAAATGTGTTTTTTGTTCTAGAAACTCCATTAATTCCAAAATGAAATGTTAAAATTAAATTAAATTCTGTTCAACATGTGTCAAGGTGCATTATCGGGTGGTAAAGAAAGATCTTTCATTGGTACAGAAATCTACTAGTGTATAGTCTGCTTTAGGTTTCTGTCTGCTGATCCCTCACTACATATGTTGAACGGACATCATTAAAGTGTATGTGTAGTCACTCTGAATGCACCAAGCTATCCTAGTGCAATGCTAACTAGTATCCAAAATCACAATTTTTATTGAATTTCAAAGTGTGCACTTACATTTTTTTACTTTTTTTCAGAGTGATCATGTGACCACAGCAGTTCCTCTGCTAATACACGCAAAAGGCCATCCGAAGGCTTCGACCAATGCCAGTGAGATATTTGTCCTTTCATGGATTGCTTTTGGGAGCTGCTGTCAATCACTCCTGGCAGGACTGAGTGGGGAGGGGTTAACTCTGTGATGTTATAGGCTTAGTTTTAAACTGTAGGTTACTGTTCCCAGTACAGGACCCACTGTGCATGCCTGTCAATGCTACCGCATGTCTGAACCTGCCACTAACGATAACAGAATAGGACAAGAATGGGGACACCATACAGAAGACTGGCAGCACAAAGTTGAGAAAAAAAATACATTTAGCAGCTTAACATGGATTTCAGAATTGTTTGTGGAAAACATATTTTTAAGGTTTACATATATTTTAAAGAAGAACTCTAGGAAAGCCTTTCCCCTGTCCATTCACAGAAAATTTTGTATTTCGTGAATGGGTTTACAGAATACAAAGCCTTCTGTGATTGGGCAAGAGGAGGGGGGCTGGGCAAATGACAGAACACTGCTGTGTAACAGACCAGAAAGTCTAGCGTGTCAGAGAACCAGAATTAAAGCAAGAGCTATGCTACTTGTGCCATAAATTGTAAAAAAAAAAAAGAGCGCTCTACATGAGGTGGCATGCATGGTGCACCTCATTGAATTTAACTGTTAGTAAGCCAGCAGATTTTAAATAGAAATAACATTCCCAGAGCTCTTCTTTAACAAAACATTTGCTCTGCCTTCTTATATTCTGATATGTGCATATAGGCAACAAGGCTTTACCATCTCTGTCCCAAAACTACTATTAAGTTCAAGTTAATTATTTCCCATAGAAGGTTCAATATTCAGTTAAAAAACAAAACAAAACAAAAACCACATCAGCACATACCCATGTAATCAAGTTTGTTTGTTTTTCTCTGTTTTTTTTTATTATTAGCAGCAGTGTTCACTTGCAGACTTTAAACATTACATACTGTAAGTATAAGAAAAATACTTGTTAAAGGTTTACCATTTTAAAATGCCATAAAATATCATTTGTAAAGTATAACTTTGACTTTAAATATTGTTTCATCTTTTCTGTATGCACAAATATTGGAATTTTCTTTTCTTCGCCCATGTTTTGTTTATTACGAGTTCAGTTCACTGAAGGATGAATGGAGATCAGTCAGCACTGCTCATGAGCTAAGATCTATGGACGTAAGGCTGAACTCTAGGCAGATACGGTATAAGAAACACCAATTAATGCAGATATGTTTTAAAAAATATATAATACATTTTTAAATGAATCAAGTCTGCTAATAAACTGACACTTCTGTTAGTGTGGATCTCCTGTGTACCTGTGCTCTGTGGTTCCTCCAGCCAACCTCTACATCACTACAGAACTTAGTAGGGACGTGAAGGTTGGCAGAAGGAACCAATGAGCACAGTAGAGGACACAGAATATCAACACTCCTGGAAGTGCGGGCTTCTCAGCAGCTTTCAGAGGACAATTTATCTGTAACAGAGCAGCATTGAGCAGTGGGATTGGTAAGTATATAAGCTTCTGTGACGGTACAGCTGTTTTTCAGTTACCCAAAGAGTAAATAACTGTAATCCCCTATACAGTAGCACAACTTGTGAGTGGGAGGGGCAGTACAGGTGTCGTTAAATGCACAAATGTTGATAGTGAACATACTGACAGGAGTATAGTACAGTGTGGACAGAGGGTAAACTGTTGCTGCTGATGCTGCTTGTTCGATATTCAGTCATATGCTGGAGGCAGGGTGGTTAAGCTAGCTTTATTGCTTAACCATAGCAGAGAAAAGTCAGGTCACCAACATGGCTGTACAGTTTAGCAGGACTATGTAAATCTCTGAGCAAATTCTACTATCAAGCAATACACTTTTACAAAACTCCATTATCGTTAAAGGCAGTACTGTACACATATCTTGAGGTAGCAACGTGATTCCTCTCTATAACAAAAAGAAAGTCATTGTGGTGACTGCAATCCGAATATTTGCTGCCATATTTTCCAGTTTACCATTTACAGTTTAAGCTTTGTAAACTGATCATTTTGTAGGAAACATGATATAAAATGTAGAACAGATAGCTCATATTATTCAGATTGTGTGCACACAGAACATATATTCAGAAAAGAAGCAGATTAAACAGCAGTAGCATCAGGACTGCCTGAAACCACAGGGGGCATAGCAAGGAATGTGTTGGCATTGATCCCAGCAACCAGTCTGATATCAACTGCCATGTTTCTTATTCAGGAGTGAAAAAGGAAGCTATCTTCAAACAACTTGTCATGGGCTGCAGCTCCATTTACTCTTTTATGTATATTTTTAAATCAGTCATTTTTATGACATGCCATTCCATTTGATTGTTGTTGTAAATCTGCACACTTTCAGTTTAATAGTTACAAAAGATTATATTCAGAGTGGTGGCTGATGGTATGGCTGCAAAGTATTCCACAGAAATCCTTCTATATAGTTTCCACCTAGTCTTTGCTTATCAGCCAGCGTGTGTCTGCAACATAATACAAAGTAAGGCATACATTATCTAGTTCTTGTTCTCTTCCACATTCACACCCTGAATGTTCCCTGTTTTTTTTTTTAATATAAAACAGTGTTTGGGATCACTTCTGAACTACTTTGTATGAAATAAACAGGATAGCATTGTAACAAACTTGCTTACTATGGCAGCAAATGTTTTTAAATTTGGTAAGAAATTACTAATTACCACAAAATATTGCTCCAAATAAAATCTGTTATTCACATTCAGGTTATTCACAATCAAAGACCCACTAAATTCACACATACACACACACACACACACACCAACATCCTACTATTGAGTAGTGGACATAGCTAAGGTAAACCTATCACAAACCTAGGCAAATCCAAATACATTTATGATGAAAAAAAAGCATAAATAAATGTTACCATTGCCAATTGTTGCACTATTTTTACTCAGGGCCTTTATATTAAAGTGCATTATACTCTTTTCACGTATGTTCCTCTTTAGTATTCACTATGTAATCTGACTCTCTATTACTTTATTTTGTATCTACCTTCAATATTGATGAGCGCAAGGAATGGAGCCCGGAAGTCGGCAGCTGCTGGAGGACACAGCGGGGATCGCGGACAAGGTAAGACCTGTACGCTATATTCCCGAGTGTGTCTCGGGGTTACCGCTTTGTTAACCCTGATGCACACTCGGGAATACCAATGGAAATGGATACACGCGGCAAATACGCCCCAAAGAAGCCCCTGTACTTCTTTGGGCGCAGGGCGTTTTTCAGCGCGTTCCTACGCGATGTAAAATGCCCAGGTGGGAACCATGCCTATGGGCAATTATTGGTTTTCACATGTTGAGGGTTTTACAGCGTGTAGGAACGCGCTGTAAAACGCCCAGGTGTGAACCAGGCCTAAATATAAATGCAGCCACTTATACCTTTGGATGTTCTGATCATTTTTACATGTGGTTTTCCCTGAGGGTAACTTCTGCTCATGTAGTTCTCATCATATGATAAGTTTGAATAGCCCAGGTTTGTCACAGGTTACCTTAAAACATTACTCCAATTATCTCAACTACAATGTCTCCCTGGCACTGCAGAGCCTTTGATATGTAAAATACAGTATACACATCTAATGCATTAACTTATTTTTCTTGTCATACCCAAAGCAATGATAACCAATTGTTCACTATTTAAATAATCATAACAAAATAGGTTGCACAACTTCTTTCAGTGCCTTGTGCCTTTAAACCATGGATGTGATGCACCAACTTCAAATGGCCTTCATGTCACAGTTCCATTAAATACTTCAAGCAATGTTGGATTCACATAATTCTTCTCTGTAGCTCCTTTTGACTTAACCGCAGTAAATTATATAACTGGATAAAAAATGTCTCCTCATTTGCAGACTGAGCACATTGCTTCACGACTCTGTGCAGTTCAGCTTGTAGGGGATAAGGACCAGTAGACTCCATGATGCTCAGACTGAACCAGCGACGGAATATCTTGTCACAGATAACCTGTGGGGGAACACAAGGAAAATCTGTCTTATACTGTCTGATCAAGAGTGTAATAAAATCTGTAAGCGTTAAATTACCATTGCCTAATCTTTCACATGTTTTAGACTTTTAGTAGTTACTCAGAAATACTGTGAAAAATATGGTTTAGAAGTATTTATGGATTCAGATTTTGAAATGGAAAAGAATATTGTAAAGTTAAACATGTTCTCAAAAACGTTCTTTATGACACTGAATGAAATACAACAAATGTATTATAATATAATAGAGACTTCATTCTTTGAATTACCTATTCTTGTCATTCTTAAACTAGACATATACACTATGTTTGCATCCATGCTGTAAATAATAGAAGGGCTAACTCTTCTGAAAATAAACTGCCCTAGACTACCTCCGGAGCTACTAAGGAGCCGAAGGATTAAGCCCTACCTGCAGCTAATCCTTTGGCTTACTTCAGCCGCGGGAAGTCCTCAGTTCAGCCGAATCAAAGGGCTATTCACAATAGCCCGTACAGCAGCCAAAGCACTTAGCCATGTTGAATGCATATGCTGTGGCTCAACAGTCTTCCGAGTATTTGTTATATACATAAGAAATCATACATTAAAACAGGAATGCACAAATCCCGGGAGCTCTGTATGCTCCTTAAAAATGACAGCTGCTTCCTAACTTTTGGGTTTTTCTCTAGTCTAGTTTTGGAGCTGGAAACGTATCTGTACTTGTACTTGGTATCTGAACATACCTAGTAAATACTTATCTCTCCTGTTGCCCATGTTGTCAAATGCTGCTCTGTTGCTGAGGAATCATCCTGCTACTGGTAAACTAACCCTTCTGGGAATGTTGATCTCTTGTGTTCTCCACAGCAATCCCTGGGGTCTTATGCCAGCATTCATGTCTCTACATTGGCCTGTAGTGACATGGAAGTCAGCAGGAAGAACGATTAAGCACTTAAGGGACACAGGTGATTGACAATCTGAAAAGTGTTGGTTCCTGAGCAGATTTTGGGGCATGATTATTTAGCATTGGAGATGGGTTCAGTGGTATGGGCAGCAGATGAGGTACCGTATATACTCGAGTATAAGCCGTCCCGAATATAAGCCGAGGTACTTAATTTTACCACAAAAAACTGGGAAAAAGTATTGACCCGAATATAAGCCGAGGGTGGGAAATGAGGCAGCTAATGGTAGATAGATACCAATAAAATTACATGAATATTTATTTAAAAGAAAAACAATAACCTAGCTCTGTAAGTGGAAAAGGGGGTACAGGGCTACATATTATGTACTACGGATCATTTAACCCATTCATATTAGCAGAGGATAATAGTAAATCTATTGTTCAGTGCATTCTATATGTAGTATATAGTACATGTACATATAGAGTGCCTGCAACAATACATTTACAATGATCCTCTGCTAACATGAATGGGTTAAATGATCCATAGTACAGGGCTACATACAGATCATTTAATACATTCATGTTAGTATAATTGTAAATGTATTGTCTGCACTGTATTAGCAGTATATACTCCATATAGAGTATATACTGCTAACACAGTGCAGACAATACATAATTGGTTAATGAATCCCCCCAAATCTCCCCTCACTTACTGTGATTCACTGTGCCGGAGCAGGGACGAGTCAGCGGCGCGCTGGTCCAGTGGGAGGAGCTCCAGGTGGGGTCCTAATTTAGCTGACTTAGAGGTGCCTGCCCGATAATTACAACCCCACCTGGAGCTCCTCTCGTCTGACCAGCGCGCCGCTGACACATCCCTGCTCCCCTGCTGTACTGGCGCTGCGGGATTTTTTTTCTTTTCTTCTTACTTACCTCGCCGAGCGTCGCGTCACTGCTGCTCCGGTGGGCGGCGCTCCGAGCGGGGTCATCTGGCAGTCTCCGGCCACCTAAATTAGGACCCGGAGACTGCCAGATGACCCCGCTCGGAGCGCCGCCCACCGGAGCAGCAGTGACGCGACGCTCGGCGAGGTAAGTAAGAAGAAACCTGACCACTGGACCACACTGAATCGAGTATAAGCCGAGGGGGGCACTTTTCAGCAAAAAAAATGGGCTGAAAATCTCGGCTTATACTCGAGTATATACGGTAAGTATATTTACAGTCTCTTTTTCAGGCAACTGCTTCATTTAGAATTCTATATTGGTGACAGGGTAGATTTACCTGGGAGCTATATTGGTGACAGGGTAGATTTACCTGGGAGGCAAAAAATACCACACTATCATGTAAAAAGCCAGGCTAATATTTCAGAAAGTGGTCTGCCATTGCAATCTACATAATTCTCCAGCAGAGATTTCCCTTTCTTCTAATACAAGGTCTCAAATAATATAAATAAGTAGCTTTGTTTTTATTGATCTCTGTTTATGTTGATTTTTCTAATTATTACCTGCAGATTACAAGGTACATAAGGAAAGAAATTTCATTTACAGCAAGATGTAAAATGTATTATATGAAATATCACCACTGGCAGCTAATAATGCCTAATAACTGAGACATTTCTGTATATCTGGGATGATTGCCAAACAATTTCAGGTCTCTCTGGAGAAAAACAGATTTTAATATGATATTAAACAGAGCCCGAAAGCCAAAAGTGCATTAACTGTATACAGAAGAAAACCTCTAAATGATCTATAAACAGCTTGCGTTGGAATCATTTGATGAGTGGGCCATGTACATCAGAAAGATGCCCTACTGAGAGTTGCTTCTACACAAGCAGCCAAGGTGCAGTAAAATGGGGCTTTCTCATAAACTGATATGTGTATGCCCATATGCAGATCAACAGATTTGCTCACTACAAGGGCTATGAATTTTAGAGATCTGTGTCAGCAAATTGTTGGAGAGATTAAGAAGTAGCTGGTGCTTTACTAACCATGGAAAGCCATTTCCAGAATCTAGAAATAGATCTGCATTCAATGCCCAGTCTTAAAAAGATTTCATAATTGAGGTTGAGAGTGGTGTGCCTGGAGAGTTACATTGATGTTCTGTATATTGTCATTCACTCAAGTTACCTTTACTCATGAAAGGCATACACAGTGGTAGTTTGGGGGTGCATACATGTCATTTATAAACACTAGATCAATAATCACTGCCTAAAGAACTGTGCTAGTTGACACTGTCTACAATGTCATCTTGATGCTAGAGATGCTGGTAGTAGTGGAAGTTTATAAGGAGGAAAACTCTGGATCTTTTAAAACTGATATATTTTTACTTTTGGAATATGTTAGCATTTAGTCATTTTATTGATTAACTCATTTTAGTTATTATGAGCTACCTCATTCTGACTCTCAGATAAGAGTTGGGTGATTCCGTTTTAGGATACCTCTCTATATACTCCTGTGTTACATTGGTCTTTCTTCAGCTACTTTCCTATGTTGCCTGAAGCATCCTCTACATGGGAAAGTAGAGAGGCTGAACAATAACCTAAACAAAATCTGTGGTTAACCTTTGAGGGCATTGTGGGTGTTTCTGCTGATAGGCCACTTCCCCAGCAAGTTATATCCACCCAAGCATGCTCCCTCCCTAGCTTTCTGTTCTGTTTAAGCTTTCAATTCATTGCTCTAATGAAGCAGGACTTTTGTATATGGGAGCATATGACCTACCCCATGTGACAGTACTAGGGCTTTAGTGGCCAATAAGCAGGCCTGATCAATGTCACGTGGGGACAGTAATCCCCCTGGTAAACTCTGACTCCATCCAACACTGGAACATACACAGGGGGAATTCCTGTGAGGGAGTGTGGATCTGTGAGTATACCTTGCAGGAAAGAGAGAAGTGGGCTAAAAAAGACACTGTCACTCTGCTGTAATCGGGAGGAGGAGAGGGACTCTTTAACAATATTAAAATGCACATGCATTTAACTTCAGGCAACCACAGGTGCCTTCCATATCGTCATATTTCTTTCAAAGTGCTGCAGAAGAAACCTGGAGGCGTTCATTTTTGCAAATACCAACCAGTGCTGCACTCCAGTCAGCCACCAGTCACATGTAGTGGTCAACAGTGATTTGCAGAAGGTGCGAGGTGGGACCAGGGTTCAACTTTCTGAATTCTGGTTGGTATTTACAAAGCTGTGCGCCCCTTTTGCTAGAAAATGCTGATTTGCAGTAACTATGTACACTTTAAGGACTTTAGCACCCAGTTAGAATCCAGCAGCCTTTTTTTCTAGCAGGTTCAAAGATAAAGGGACAATCTGATTGGCTGCTACAACTATAAGCAAAAGAGACACAGACAGAACCTTTGGTTCTGATGCACTATGTGCTTTGGTTTGAGAGAGGTATATTGTCAACACATAAATATTACCATGTTGAGAAATTGCATTAATATGATTTTGTAAGCTGCCGTTTTCTTATTACCTTTGTGCACTGTGAGTTATAGATGGAACAAAGTGAAGCTGCTTCTTGCCATGCATGTAAGATATTCTAAAAAAAGACAGGTGTTCATTCACCGAGATTGTCTGCTACCTATAGTAGCCATCAAATTCAGAAATTATTTTTCTCTGAAGTTGTAAATAAATATTTTTATATCATTTAAGTTATTATAAAGAACTTGACTGTTTCCTACAGTAACAGGGAATAAAAGGGCATATACCACACCTCTGATGAGAGCCTGATTTTGTGATGAAGGATGACGATTTTTATTTGGTCCGATAGCTTCCTATCTCTGCATGGCGCTATTATATGGTTAAATGTGCATTTTACCCCATGTTGTTTACACACGATTGGTGCAGTGCTATGCATTGCAATTCATTTTGAATCACGCCTCAACACACCTTTCAAAGGCACCCCAACATACTTGCATTGCAACACACCACAAATCACAGATAGGGAAAAATAAATGTCCTGTTTCTGGTGCTTTCAAAATGAGCGGGCTGCCTTAACACAACACAATTTCATTCACCAAACCTGTCATGATAACATACTTAAAGAGGAATTCCTTTTGACTATGTTTACCCTTCTAGTGCCTTGGCACATTTTTATTAACAGTACAAAAAGCCCAATGCACTTTAAAGCTGAAGATATTAAGATTGAGGCATATAGTTATTTAATTAGATACATGTTTGTTAAATCTTATTATTTATTTATACAAACAATATATATATATATATATATATTGGAACTCCATCTATATGATGCAAAACAATATTTTGTATTGCAAACCAGCAAACCACAGCTGTACTTTGTACTTTGTGTACCTGTCACTTACTTGCAGATTGTTATTCTCTCTTTGTGCTCCACACATGTATGTCTTTAAATCACAAGATGAAAAACAGTCAAAGAAGTTGCAGTCCTTATCAGATTGACATTTTTGTTCCAGTATGTTACGCATTTTGGGCTCAAAAAATGCCATATCCATATCAATGGCAACTACCTGCAACCAATAAAATAAAATAAAATAAAACAGGAGAAGCATAGTTTAGTTAAGTCAATTCATACATTACATGTCATGTCACATTCTGTTACAAAGCTCCAGGCATGTTTTCTGTAGGAACATCTGCTGCACAATATAAAAGGATTATTGTGTTTTAGGTGTTCTGCTAAATAGGTGAGATCAATCTGTGCATTACAAAGGAATAGCTAAAGTGTGCCCATTTATTCGTTGATAGAAACTCAAAAGAAAAGAAAATGTATGTAGTAAGAAAGTGAGTGGATGGGTCTCTCTCTCTCTCTCTCTCTCTCTCTCTCTCTCTCTCTCTCTCAATCATTAAGTAACTTCTGTCTCTCTCTCTCTTAAGTAACTAATAGGTATCAGGGAAGTTTGGGTGAAGAGTCATGGATGCTCACGTTAAGAAGCTTATCATTTAGGGAACTGGAATCATTGGTGGTCATCAGTTCAAGGTGCCTACAGACATGAGAACCTTTTCCAGATCTGGTTGTTTATAGCTCACTTGGGAATGTTCATATATCTGCAGGCTTCCCCCCATGCCTCCTGCCTGAACCTGCTTGGGAAAAGAATTGATGGGTTTTCTAGCTTACCTGAAACAGCTGTCACCAGCAGATCTTACCCCTACTCTTCCTATAGGCACAAACCTAAAAGTTCTTTCACTGCAAACTTGCATGCTTGTACTATGATTGCTTGCTAAGTCATCCTTTAAAATGATTTTAACAAACTCCTCGACCGCCGCCAGCTACACATAGAATAAGTAGATTTTATACCTAAATGCAATCTTCTGACAGCATTAGAATAGTGCTAGGCTTTATTCATCACCAAAACATATCTAAGCTATTATTGATTTTTCCTGCACTTGATATAGAAAATGCCTTGGTGGGCCTCCGTTGGCCCTACATGATGGCAATATTAAACAAATTTGGCACATCCAAACCCTACATATTTAAAACTTCCTAGACCCCGTAACTATTTAACAAGAAGTAAGGGCTGTCCACTTTTTGCAAGCATTATTTGTGAACCCCTAGCCCTTTCTTATGCAAAATCACTAACATTACGCGAGTAAAAGTTGCCAAAAGCTACTATATTTTGGCTCCGTCTGCCAGTAACAAAGCATACATGGCCAGGTCAAGTTGCTTTACACAAGCAGCCAAGAGGTGGGCTCATGGGCCAGAATGAAGTGGCTGAAATGCAGCAAGGAACAATCCTGTCTACCAGATGATAGTGGAAAAGCAGAGCTGTTCTAGTACTATTTTTTTCCTACCATAAATATAAATATGGCAGTTTTTTAGGTCAGCTACATCTTTAATCATTACATGGGATGCATACTTTTGATAAGTGAGTTTTCATTTGTACTTGGACTTCAGCTTAAAGGTGGTTTTACATGTGCCTGGAGTTCTTTAAAGTAAACCTCGGAAATTCAAACTGCAATAAAAAAAAAAAAAATTAAAAGTGTATAGGCAGAGGGTATATAGGACACCTAAAGTTAAAGTTATATTAAAGTCAAATGTTTTTAAGCTATTTCAAATGCTGATTTAATCACTTACAATGGATGCTGCTCCCTGATGTGTAAAAGTTATTTCCCTGCAGAATCAGCTGGTTCCCCTGAGCACTGGCCCTGATATCCTGTTTTAGGGTGGCTCATTTTCCTTGCAGGGTCCTATGAAGCCACCCTTATGTGTGCTAGCAAGCTGTGTTTGTCTCTACAAACACACAGGCACAACAAGGCAAACCTTCACCAACCTAATAGGAGTTTGCAGGACAATAAGCAGCAGAGGTAGACCGAGTGCAGTCAGTAATCAGCACTCAGTAACAGACCTGGTCTGACACACCCATCTCCTTCATTACAATATAAATCTGTGTGAGGACACTTGTGCTGAGAGGAGTGGCTGCTACATAGCTATACCACCACAAAGCACTGGAGTATGAGAACAGGAAGCAGTATTTTTTCTGAAAGAAAAGGGTGTTTTAGGCTGGGTTCACACCTAGGCATATCGAATATGCACGTTTGCGGTAAAAAAAAAACACGCGACAAACACACGTTTCCAAGGGCTACTTGGCTGTATCCCAATAGAAACGCGCGTCAAAAATGCTCCTGTACTTCTTTGGGCGTAGGGCGTTTTGTAGCGCGTTCCTGCGGCCTGTAATACGCCCAAGTGTGAACCATACCCATAGGAAACAATGGGATTTCGGTGTTTGAGCGTTTTGCAGAGCGTTCGAACGCGCTACAAAACGCCCAGGTGTGAACCAGGCCTAAAAGCATTACTAAGCAAAAATATATTACAAAGTTACATACAGTAGTATTTGAGGTTGAATAAAGACACAGGTCCATCAAGTTCAACCTTTGTGTGTCTGTTTGTGTGCATGTGTGTATATATGAGTACTTGTGTGGTCTAGTCTTTAAGAGTACCTGTACTCCTGTATGTTATGGTCTCTGAGGAAGGTATCTAAATGATTTTAAAAAGAGTCAATACTCTCTGCTGATGCCACTGCTTGTGAAAGAGAGTTCCAAAATGTAATCGCTCTAACTGAAAAGAAGCCCCTACGCCGTTTGTGGTTAAATCTTTTCTCCAATAATTTTAGGTGGTGGCTCTAGTCTTTTTTAGAGAGTTCACCATCACCATTAAACATTTTGTACATCTCTTGTTGCATTCCTTGTAGCTCTGGAATGCCAATGTAGTCCACTTCATCTTATATTTTTTAAATGCCAGCTTCTTTTCTTTGATATGTTGTCTTACTGTTTTATTTAGCCATGCAGGCTTTGCTCTCGATCTTTTATTTTTGTTCCCCAATGGTATGCACTTGGTAATAGCGTTATGTAATGTATTCGTAAAACAATCCCACTTCTCATTAGTGTTCATTGTTAGAAATAAGTTGTCCCATTTAGTGTCGTACACTAGATGACGCAGCTTATCGAAGTTTGCCTTTTTGAAATTTAGCATTCTTGTCAAACCAACATTTCCATACCCAAATCATAATGTGGGGGTACAGAACTATTAAGAGTCACAATAGATGTGAGACATAAACTGGGCTTTTTTGACACGCTGTCGTCACTGAATGAAACCTCTGCTTACGCATTTAGTAAAAATATACTCAATTTGAATTGTCCAAGCTTGTGCCAGGTTTCCTTCAAACTATGGAGGGAGATCCATATTAGTAAAGGTCTCTGAGTATCAATTTAGAAATATAAACTGGGCTGGGTTGCACTGTTCAAGATGAGCAGCTGAAATTCCACAGTGCTGACACCATGTGAAGTCAACAGATTTTCCTCATGATGTAAGTCAAACTGGCTTCAACTCCAGTTATCAAGCACACAGCCATTCCAACAATTTAGTTACATGTATGAGAAGTGTGAAGAATCATTCACACACTGATATTTAGGACAACAAGTGCATGTAATCTGCTCACTGAACTCTATTCCTCTTTTCACAGCTGCAAGATAGCATTGCAAACCATTTAATGTGCCTGTTGCTGAGGTAAGCACACACAATAAAAACTGAATATGAGGAAAAATTAGTATTGTCCAGCAGAGTTTACCGTCTATAACCCTTCTGAATAAAAATGTACATTCTGTATAGTGCTAAACAGATATTTGTGAGTGTTTAAGTCATCGGGCGAAATTCGCATAATGTACGGACAGCATTAGGGTATATTAACACCGGAATGGGAGCCGAAAACAGAGGTACGTTGACTTGAGTTTGCATAGTGCATTGACATACTGTACATTGCGTTATGTTACATTGTGAATGGATCTTAAAGTTTTGTTACAAGAGAGGTACATGTTCCAGGAATACTCACCAAATGCATTCTATCATATCCACTTGAGAGACGTCCTACCACTTTCTTTCATACTTTCATCTTCGTTCTTTCTTACACTTACTTTCTACTTTGAGGGCCCGTTCACGCTAGAAGCATTGGGGCTGCACTGGCTGCTTTTTCCAGTGCAACCCCAATGCACAGGCAAGGCAACTTGCTTTGTTTTAAATAGGCGCAGCACAGCATGGTGCGACACAGTATAACCGCATCACACTGGGCTGTGTTTACAGAAGTTATTAAAATGCCACTGGTGTTCAAACAAAATAAGGTAAACAGTGTGATGTGCGGGGATCAGTGCATCAGCATAGTACATGTCATTGCTTACTAACAGCCGTGAGTTGAATGGGCCCTTAAGGTACACTTTGGTCAAAACTGGAAATAGAACACAGAAATGAACACAGGAGATAGCTTACACATTCGGGATTCTGTTTTCCATCTAGGTTTTGCACAAGGTTATCCTGAATACAACCAGCACTTTGTTGTTGGTAATCTAGTATTGATGGGACACCATTTATAACTAAAAAATGGTGGCCTGCACCTAAATCTTTCCACATGGTTTTCTGTGTCTCCAGAGGATCTGGAAACTGTATAATTACACCAATGGCATCAGTTCTCAGCGTACACCCTTTGATTATGTAGCCTCTACCACCTTCTGTGGAGTGATACTAGAAATGTAGCTGTGCTAGTACTGTAGTCAGTCTGGCTGAATTATATTTGGTTATTATTTGGTTAATTCTAGGTGTTCTATAACTGAAAGCTTTTTGTATTGGTCACTGAATTAATTTGTTACCTGGAATTGCTATTTAAAGTTGAAACAAATCTGCTGTTTAGAATAAAGTATAGGTATCAACGGACAACTGCAATTACCTGCAGAAGCCAACCCTCCAGGTACGCCTCCAATATTTCAGGTATTCCTATTAGTCCATCACTATTAAGGGCTGCCTTAATGGCCAATAGGAATGTGCAGGAGGCAGGCAAGCTCCAACACTACTGTATAATGAAGTGTCAGTGCTTTGCCCATCAGGACAGCCCTGAGTTCGGCTGTAGCAGATAGCAGTGTCTAAAATATTGTTTTGGGCCATAGAGTTGCTTTATGCACGCTCATACTTCTGCCTTTATTGTGATTACATTCCTTATTATTATCAAAGACACACACACACTAAGGGGTG